GCCCTCGGGCCGTGACCAGCATGCCCTTCTGCCCACCTCGTCCTCTAGCATCTGGGGGCAACACAGTACACAGGAGCTCCAGCTTGCCTGCCACAAGGGCACCTTTCACCGCTGCCCTCCCTGCCGCCTGGGAATGAGCTCAGCCCTCCAGGCCACCAGACAGGCCCCACTGTGCCGGTGGCTGCCCCAGGAGGCTGCAAGGGTGGAAAGGACCCAGTCCCACCCATGGGACCTCCTCCCAGGCAGGAAGCCCGGCCAAGCTGTGAGACCAAAGTGACTCCATTTTGCTAAAATCCACTATTGCCCTAGTCTCTACTGTCCTCACAAATTAATGGTTAAAATGGGCTTGCTCTGGGACAAAAGACACAATCTGTAACGAAGCAAAGTTCCTAAGTTAACTACTCAACCATCTGTTTGCCCAGGAAATGAACGTTCTGGGCCCCCTATCCATAGAACAATCTGTCAATGTGCTGACCATCAGTACGTGACAGTCGACCCCTAACCTTTGTCCCTCTTTTCCCCCGTAAAACCTACATGTAACCGCCCCTCAAACCCCCGATGGGCCTAGCCAATCAGAAATATACACTTCATGCTTGCAAAATGCCAACCAATCATGTAACTGCTAAGTAAAAAAGCTCCAAACCTTGCTGTAGCCACAATAAAAACCCCGCTAATTTGAAATTTGGGGCTCTCAATTCTGATCCGCTGCGTCGGCGACGGGTGAGAGTCCCTGCTCGAGCTTGAATAAACGAGCCTCCTGTGTTTTGCATCGGAATCGGCTCCTTGGTGGTCTTGGGGGACTTCGTGATCTGGGCACAACACAAGCCACTTCTCAATGTGTGCATTCAGGGGCCGGGAGGAGACATGCACAAAGGCCTCTGTCGGACTGCCCTTCCCTCCTCTCCGCCTTCTGCTCTCTGAGCCCAAGTCGGCCCTCGCCGCCGCTGCCGCCGCTGGGCCACACTCCCTCCCAGGCCCAGCAAGGATCACTCCTGCCCTGCGCAGCGGCCCGCAGCGGCCTCCTCCTCCCCAGACCACCCGGTCAGGGCATTTCACCTCCCCAGGGAGATCGCCTCCTCCCTCGCTACAATGTACCAAAAATATGATGAAGGGGGGCCACGGATTTAACTCAGTGGTTTCTCCACCTGCTGTGCAAGCTCAAGGACCCGAGTTCGATCCCCGATACCAAAAAAATAATGAAGGTTTAAATTTTTAAAAACTGTATTGCAGTCAAAGACACATTGCATGAACCCCACGAAAAGTCTCCCCCTTGAGGGCCAGGGATTTAGCTCAGTGGTTTCGCCGCCTGCTGTGCAAGCACAAGGACCGGAGTTGGATCTCCGGTACCAAAAAAACAAAAAAAGTCTCCCCCTTACTTTGAACACACTCACCCCAAATTCTTGCCGCTTTCTGCAGCAGCTCTGGAGTCGTCTTTCCTGAGGGTCTCTAGCTGTGCTGTCCTGGCTGCCTTGACGTCCTGAGTGAACTCAAAACATTTTGCTTTCATGTTCATTTTTATTTTAGAGGAGACCTAGAAGTTCCACAGCATCAGATTCGGTGAGTAAGGTGGATGAGGACACAGCACTCATGTTTTTACGAGCCTGCATTTCCACTGGAAGGCGCTTGGCAGCAGCATTCACCACATTTTTGATCACATCTAGTAAAACACTCAGGAAAGAGGACTCCAGAGCTGCTTCAGAAAGTGGCGAGACAATGGGATACGTGTGCTTAAAGCCAAGGGGAGGATTTTGAGAATGATGTCAATGTGACTCTTACTGTCACGATTTATTTTAAATGTAAGCATTCACTATATATTTTGATCACCCCTTGTACAAAGCTCAGGAACTCAGAACATACTCAGGCTGGGTCTAAATCCCAAGTCCACGGAGGGATGAGGGCATCACCTACACTCAGGTGAGAGTGGGTGGTGACAGAGAAGGCAGCTACCATGCTCAGAATGAGAACCGGATGTGGTGTTTATCAAGCTACAGATGTCAACTCTGAAAATGCTGTTCCTCCACAAAGCTGCCGCTAGCAGCATCACTCAGCTCGTGCTCCTGGGGGTTCTGCCAAAGGCAAACTGACCGGGGCTGTCTGACACCCAGGTGGTGCTCAAACATCAAAGTTAGGAAACCCACACCTGCACCTCCCAATCGCCTCTACTCCTGCAGCAACCTTTTGGACAAGCTCCCCCAAAGCGATGCTTTCCGTCTGCACAGTTCCAGACTTTGTCTCTGGACTCTGGGACTTACTTCTGCCAGAACCAGCAACTTCTCAGGAGCAGAGCTCGAACCAAAGGCATCAGGACAGAGTCCCCAGCACAAACCCGGAGGGAGCTCAGCCACGCCTCACACATTTAAAAGGGCAGCACTACCGGAAACACAAGGAGAGGGGAGATTCGGCAGAGCTCCAGGACAGGAGTGCAGGCCGCCGTTTCCGGGTTCCAAGTCTACAGCATCTGCCACGGCCCACCCGGCTGAGGCCTGGCAGGGGGAGGGACCAGCAGCACAGCTGCAGCTTCTCTGTCCCAGCCCCGACCTCGCTAGGCTTCCCGTGCCCGCACAGAGCTGCTCACTGCTGCCGAGGTTCTGGCTCAGCAGCTTGGCCCTCTGCCCTGCCCGGACGCCTCACTCAGCAGGAGCTGCGAGCAAGTAGAGAACCAGTGCCACGGGTCTGCCGGTCATTCCTGCTGCATCAAGACCGCAAAAGCACAGCGCACGCCCTTTATCAACACACAGCCTCCCCCACTCTCCTCTGACTCGTGGGTCAGTGCTTTGAAGAAACGGTTTGGGCTGGGGTGCGGCCCGGTGCCAGAGTGCTCACCTCCTGTGTCTGAGGCCAGCCTTCTGTCCCAGCACCGCAAAAAATGCAAAGCACAAAGATAAACACAGTCAGTTGTTACGCATTTACAATGGTCGCAGCCTCAGTGCTAGCTCCTGGCTCTCTCTGCCTCCTGCTGTCCGGCCCAGGAGGGTTGGAGGCAGACACAGGGCGCTGAGGTTCGAAGGGGGCTCGGGGTTTGGACAGCCCGACCTTCTGGGGACGAGAGCCACCCTCCTGAGCAGCCGCTGCTGTGGCCCAGCCCAGAAAGGCTGGGCCGCCTACTCATGCTGCTCAGTCACACAGGGGCTGAGCAAAAGACAGTTTAACTGACTAAGCTCACTGCAATGAAGGGCACACTCCCAAGTGCGCCAGGTAAGCATGCTCAGCCAAGCTGGGAGGGTGGCGGGGGGGGTGGTTTGTCACACCAAGGCATCTTTGCAATGAACATTAAAAAACACTAAGAGAAAATGACTTATTTGAAGGCGGAGAAAATGATGGATAGCTACTTGACAAGTAGGGAGCATCCGAAAGGGAAATGCTCGTGGGTTCTTATCTGCACCCTTTTTTGATTGAGACCCTTGTCCCAAGCAGGCTCCTGGACTGACTGTCGCCCTGGTGTGGAGACGCCCCTGCCCAGTATTAGCGGGCTATGAGTGGCACCTGCTTCTTGCCTTCCCTAATTCGGCTATACTGTTTTATACAGAGTCAGACCAAAGCCCTGTGTGACTCAGACAGGCATGTCAGCTGGCAGAGTTGGGCTAGCATTGCTCCTTTGCTAATGGCTGTCACCGAGGCCAAAGTCCTGGTGTGTGAAGTGGCAGAGCTCTGCTGAGTTAACCTGCCCCGAGGTCAGCGTGACCCCAATTAAAACACTTTCTCCTGAATTATGGCTTCTCACAGCCCCTATGCGTTGCTTGCTAATTGCACCCAGACCCAGTTCCTGTTTGTTCTACCCTAGCAAGATAAGCAGTGCTTCCTCCCGGACAGCCCTGCCTGGCGCCATCATGCCAGGTGTTCGGCAGTAATTCACTAGATGCTTTCAAAGCACACCCTGCTCCCTATTGATTGCTTAGGGACAAGCAGTTCAGGTTTAAATGTGAAGTAAAGGGGTTTATGTTAATCATTATCCAGAGCTTCCTTTCTTTGTCTTTGTATTTCTGATTGCTCGAGCCTAATCTTCAGAGGCAGAGGCCACTGCCCTTAGTAAGTCTCTTCATTAACTGCTAACAAAGCTCAACGAGGCATTCAGCCTCATCTTTTCCCTACCTACGGGGCCCCTGTCCCAATTCCCCACGCTGAGACACCCAGCCAACTGCTGTTGGGGAACCGGCAATGGCCAATCTGGCTTCTTCGAGCTGAATGGGGTCGGAGTGCAGAGCAGTGGGTGGGAGCCTCTACGGGGGATCATCTGGGCCTAGCGGGAGAAGTCTGGCATCACCTGGTGTTTGGCAGCCACTGGGCAAGAATACACACGCTTTACCAAGAGATGAAAGGATGTATGGCCAAAACATGAGCGAGAGAATGGAAAGGCAAATTGGGGAGGAGCCCATCTGCACTGCTTTTAAAGGCTGGAAGAGCAACCGCAACCCGCTGACCCTTAGAATTGTCAGCGGGGGTCAGTGACTGCAGCCCCCTCTTGTATGTCTAGCCCATCTTGTCACTCATACGTATCTCTAGCTATGTCCTCCTGTTGTGGGGTGCTCAAGAGGTCCACTGAGGGGAACCGGAAATTGAGAAGTCCTCCATGGGTCTCCTTTGACAAACCGGCCTAAGGAGTGGCTGGCACCCAAGTCCCAGGTCCCCAGAGGCACGGGGGTCTGTCCAGAGTTGAAAAGCATTCAGGCCGCTCTCAGTGATCCACGGGGCCACCCTTCCCACACAGATCACCTCAAGTGTGTAACAGCTGCTGCCTGGAACATGGGCAGCCAGCTCGGGATGGGGGAAGTCTGCATCCACCAGGAAGAGTGGTGCACACAGACACCAGATACGGTGACGGGAGTGCTCTCCAGCCGTCCCCTGGCCTCTACACCCGAGGAAGCCCGCTGTGGCTGGGCCGCAGTGGACAGGCGTCACGAGGTCCAAGGGGCCACGCACACCGGACCACAGCAGGCTGGCCCTGCCCTCCGACCGCGCCCCCATGCCCCAGCTGAGCACCCACAGGAGGAGAGGCGACTCACATGCTCCCGCATGGCCTTGGCCACGGTGGGCGACATCATCAGGCAGCACAGCAGGACGACCAGGATGAAGTAGAGCGCGTACATGAAGCGGGTGGTCCGCGACTGTCGGATCTTGGGGCAGCAGCTGCAGCAGAGAGAGCACCCCGCCGTCCCGCAGCAGCAGGCCAGCTGGAAGGGACATCAAGAGCTCAGAATGTGACGCTGCAACATGACAGGAAACGCACAGCCGCCCCTTCCCGCTGGACGTAGCCTGCGACCTGGTCCTTCCCCTGGTCGCACACCTGCGTCCTTTGCCATAAAGCAGCAGGCGTAGGCACAGGCTGCCCCTCAGCTCTGTGAGCTGGTCCAGCACGCACACGGACCCAAGGAAGGGAGGTGCCGCCAGTCTGTGCATGGGGTCGGGCTGGCAACTCGCAGCTTCGGGGACGCCCACGGACTGAGGCTTGAGCCCACGGGTCTGCACCAGCTCTGGGTGGTCAGGGCCAGGGCTGGACTGGGCTGCAGGAGGCCCTGCTGCTGTCATCCAGGGAGCCTGCATCCCACGCACGCCTGCGGTCCTCCACGTCACAGGATGAGCACCTCCAGGCCCCCGAGCTGGGTGCCGGCCGAGCTCTCCCCAGACGGGTCTCACACCGAGATGAGTGACAAGCACCAAGCAGAAGATGGCCCGCCCACGACAAACAGGAAAGCCACACTTCCTCGGACGGAGTCACCTCTCCAGACAGAACAGAGGGCGAGGAAGGGGCCGAGAACACGAAAAACGAGGAACAGGGGGGAAGAACATGCAAAACAGGAAGCGGAGCACCAGACCAGGGCTTGGGGACACCCGACCCTGAGACCAGCCGTGTGAGAGGCCAGGGCTGCGCCAGCCGCCGGGCAGGGCACACGGAACGACTTGAGGCGCAGGGGGACCGGTGGCTCCGCCCCTGCATGGGAGCCTCTCGCCCTAAGGTGCAGAGCGGGCAGGGACGGGTCAGGGTGCAGGGAGCCCTCGGCCTCTCAACCACACGACCTCTCCCTGGGGACACGGGCCTTTAACAAAGCACTGACGAAAACTAAAAAGGCCCGGGCCCCTGGTTTGTACAGCAGCTGTGGTGACCGGGCAGCTGCCCGCACCGCATCACACAGCCCCGGAAGCCACCCCGTGCTCCGGCTTCACTGCCCAGGTCTGCTCTGATCCCCGCAGCTGTCCTCCTGGGAGCAGCCTCCTGCACTCACATGGCCAGTTACTCCACGCGGGCCAGCAGACGCGCACACGCAGAGGGGGTTGAGCACCGCTCCCTGCGTGGTGGGTTCTGTGGGTCTGTCTTCCGGTACCACGGACAGAACCCAGGGCCTCTGCACTGCACTCCATCCCCAACTCTGCTCCCCCTTTTCAAGACAGGGCCTTGCTAAGTCTTGGACTCAAACTTGTGATCCTCCTGCCTCTGGGCTCACAAGACTACACGTATTTTTATGGGCTTCTTGACAACCACTTGTCTGGATTTTCAATCTCTGGTTTTGTTGATCTCATTCACTCATGTGTCCAAGTATTTCCCTGTCCCCCCTCCTTCTCTCAATACACACATGCACACGCGCACACACACACACACACACACACACACACACACACACTCTCCCCGCCCACCGCCCAGCTTGACTGTCCGCCGCCTCCTCCTCCTCCTCCTCCTCCGCCCCCTCCTCCGCCCTCCGACCCCTCCCAGTCCTCACCCTCCTCTGCTGTCCGAGCCCTGTGGTCTGAGCCAGCAGGCCTCACTGCACTTCCGATTGAAATGCATGAACAAAAGAAACCCCGGGAGCAGACGTGACCCTCGGAGCCCTGGTGGACAAGGCTCAGTCCCGACACGTCGCCACCGGGGGGCACTGGCGCGCTCCACAGGCCTGGGCGGGGGCTCCAGCCCTGACGCAACAGGGCCAACCTGCAAACTGAAAGCCGAAATAACCCTTCTCTCTGCAGCGGCTCATCTCCCCGTCTGGACCGATGCAGGAAGCTGACACCGTTAGCCCTCCCGCAACGGGGCTGCTCTGAGCTCATGACCTCCACAGAGGGCCACGAGCCAGGCCCCACCTCCTCACATCACCACGGGCCGCGGGGCCATTCAACGGCAAACTGCGACCAGGGCTGTGATTACGAAGAGGGGAAGACACGGCCACACTGCCTTACTCCCTCTCCGTCATTAAAGTCATGCGTCATCACATGGACCAGTTTCCAAATTTTACTCTGCACTTGGACTCTGTATTTAAAAAATATGGCAGCCCGGAGTGTGGCTCAGGGTACAGCGCTTGTCTAGCATGTGCAAGGCATTGGGTTCTAACCACACCACAAGAAATAAAAATTTTTTAAATGTATGTGCACTTAGAAGTGCACAAGTGTACACGAACACACATGTACCAAATATGACAGTTCGACAGTGGTCTTTCTTTTAGCCAGATGTTATTCTTCAAAGCAAACTGTGCCAGTAACCAAGAGAACAAACACATTACCTTAAATGAAACACGGATACCCAGATGTAGATATAGATACAGATATATCAGGAAGAAATTCAAAACCACATTCATTCATGAAAAATGTTTATCTGAGCATTCTACAAGTTCGCAGAGGCCTGCTGGCTGACCAGTTGTTTCTGGAAGAACAGAACTTAGAACAAAGCAGGGTCCTCGCCAGCCCCTTCCACTGACAGCCTTGTTGCCCTGGGGAGGCTACGCACTGTGGCAGGCAGGGTGGAAGGTCAATCTGACCAGCTTTGGGATCCACCCTGGGATTGGCAGAGCAGGCTCCTGGGTGTGTCTGGGAGTCATGGAGCCATGACCTTGGGTCTCTATCTGCTCCCTGGCCCCTTCCGCTCTGGCCCTGTTCCCTGCTCTGCTTCCTGGCCACCAGGAATGGAGCAGCTTTGTTCCTCCTCACCCTTCCGCCATGATGGCTCTGCCTTGGAGCCAGCTGACCAGAGACTGAATCCTCTCAAACTGTGAGCCACATGCAACCTCTCCTCCTTTAAGTTGTGGGTGTTGAGTATTATCTCCAGCATGGAGAATGCCAGCTAATACCCTCACCCTGATCCTCACCCGAAAAACTAGACATACCGACTCGTGGCTAGCCTGAGCCTAGGACCAGTGCCCTGGCCCCTGGCTCCAGAAGACATAAGCCTTTGGTGAACAACTCAGGCCTCAAAACACAAATGCAGACACAGCCCGAGAGCGAAGCTGAAAGCTCCCGAGGAACGGTGGGTGACGAAGGTGCATCTGTGCGGGTTCATCAGACATACAACGCCCTGCGTTGCTGGGCACTGACGCTGGGGAGGCTACACATGTGGGGGGCTGATCACCCGTGGGAGATCAGTGCTGTACCTCCTCAATTTTGCCATTAATCTAAAACTGCTCTGACAAATCAAGCCTTTTGTTTTGGTTTGGTTTGATTTTTTTGTTTTCTGAGACAGGGTCTCATTAAGTTGCTCAGGCTGGTCTTAAGTTTCCAGTCTTCCTGCTTCAGCCTTCCAGAATGCTGAGATTGCAGATGTGTGCGCCACACCCAGCATAAAGACTATTTTTTAAGAATAAAATAATAATCATAATAAAAGAGCAAAACAGTGCCTGCCCATCCAGGGCTCAGACAGATGCTGAGTGAGTAATTCAGGGTGAAGTCATGATGACAGTGCTGGGCAGCTGGGTCCCCGGCCCGAGTCTCTCCACTGCCTCACAGAGTGCAGGGCTGTCTGGCGAGGCCTCTCCTGGAAGAAACCACCACAGCCTCAGGAGTCCGCTTGATGCACTGGCACTGCCAGGACCCAACCGGAACTCCGAGTGCCGGGCGAGTGCTCTCCCCAGGGCAATCCCGGCCTGGCACCCTCTCTGCAGGGCAACACCTCAGCCCTTCCAGAAACTTGCTGCAGACCCTGCGGCAGGCGCAGGGCAGGCCCCACAGGGAGCCGGGCTCTCACTGCACAGGCCCAGGCATCCGGCATCCAAGGTGCTCTGTACCACAGAACACCACTGCGAGGAGGAAATCAGGATCCAGAGCTGGACTGCACTTCCTCAAAGATCTCTCTTTCCCAATTCTCTCTCTTTGTATTTTCAGCTTTTATTTTCCATTTGCCCCTGCTTGGCACACAGTGACTCCAATCCTTGTGGGGAGCCGGTGCACGCACTTAGCACATCTCCATCCTGCTTTACAGCCCTTCCCCTCCACCTCCTGGTCCCCTCCCATTTGTAAAACATCCATCTCCCTGATTCCTATTCCTGTCTTTTATTTTGCTCTCTATTTATTCTCTGGGTTTCTCATATAAGAGAAATCTTGCAACATCTAAGCTTTTGTGTCTGTTTTATTTCACTGAACAAGTAAAATAAACTTAATCTTTCTCAAGGTGCATCTACTTTCCTAGGAATGTCTCAGGTTTATCTTCCTTTATGGCAGAGTAGCACTGCACTGTGTGTAAACACCGTGTTTTCTTTATCCGTGCATCTGCTGATGGACACAGAAGCTGCTTCCAAGATTTAGCTAAGGTGAGTTGTTCTGCTATTAACCTGGGTGTGCATGGATGGCTGTAACACGACGTCTCTATTCCGACACTGAAGTGCTGATCCCCTGGGCCTCCGAATGTGGCCCACTACACATGGGCACAAGGTCGTGAGAGAGGTAATTCAGGGCAAGTAAGGTCAGTGGGTTTCTCTCCAGCCCAGGGGCACACACAGACACAGGGCCATCGAGGCCGCAGCAGGGGAGCCACCCCTTCGAGTTAGGGGATTAATGTGAGGATCAACACCGCTCGCTGTTCAGACCCCGCTGCGGAACTGCTGCGCAGCCCTGCCTGGCACTCACGGTGCATACGAGGCACACAAGTGAACATTAGGCAGCCGTGAGGCGCCAGGGCTCAGGTGCTGGGGCGCAGAGGGAGCCTTCCACAGCCCCGGGACCCCACGAACACCACTTCCCTTCCTCCCGCCTAGGGTGGGCTGGGGACACTGCTGTCCTGACAGTGACCTGGGTCTCAGGGGACACGGCCTCCGCAGGGTGGGGACTCCTCAATGAGAGACGCCACACCCCGCCAGCGCTGTGAGTGGGCCAGATGGGGAGCAAACCTCACTGGGAGAGACGCCTCCCGCCCCTCGGCTTCCGGACACAGGAGCCTGGCAGAGCTGAACAGAGGCCGGAGGGCTTCTGCCCGCTGCAAGGGCGATGCCCTGCTTGGAGCCATGGGGATGAGGGGCCCCAAAGCTCTCCCAGACGCTTGGCTCCGAGCGGCCCAAGGCTCCTCAGACCCTCACCTCAGGGGGCCCGAGCTTCAGGGATGCAAGCGCCACCCGCCCTGCATGCCGCCTGAGTGCCCACCACCTTCCTGCTCCTTCCAGAGCTCAAGGCCACCCCGGGGCCCTGTGCCAGGGCGAGCATGTGAGCAGTCTGCTTGGCTCTGGACAGCAGCGCTCCCTGGAACGCCGACCCAGGGCCACTGGCGCCCCAGCGCCCTCCCGAGCCTCAGGGCTCAGCCCCTGTGAGCAGCAGCAGGGCGAGGGCCAGGGCACCAGACACTGACGCCACCCAAGCTGCTGACCAGTCATCGGCCTGCGCAGACTTCGTGCTGCACAGTCCCAGACCAGGAGCGGGGAACATGGCTTGTTACGTGGATTCCTCCCACACAAACAAATATGGGCGACCTGGTGAACCCTGCTCAACCTAGAGCAAGGTTAGGTGACAACAACTAGTGCTTAGCCAGGGGTGGGGGTGCATGCCTGTAATCCCAGCACTGGGGAGGCTGAGGCAGGAGGACCAGCATGAGTTCAAGACAGCTTGGGCTACACAGTGAGTTCAAGGCCAGCCTGCACTTCATCTCGTTCTCTGCAAGGTACCACAGCTGTTACTGTTGTTGTGTTACCCATTATTATCACCCCTGTTTAACAGAGAGAAGACCAGGGCTCGGAGAGGTTGGGCAATCTGAGGTCACACAGCACATGATACACAGTGCTCAGTCCAGGGGGACACCGAGGACCTCAAACCTGGGTGTTCAATGAAAAACTCTTTGATTGCTTAAATCATGGTGGGCTCACACTGAGGAAAACAATGCACCCGAAGACATAACCACTCGGGCTGTGCAGAAACACCTGCCACAGTAGAAAGAGTCCGCACTATTCACCGGAAACAGTTCACAGCACCCGGGCACACAGTCCAGCAGAATCCAGGGACAAACAGGACAAGACAGAGATCAGCAGCAGGGGCAGCAGCCCCGGAGGCTGCGCCCAAGCCAGCAGGGTACAGGTACTGCAGGACCGTGTGATTATGCTGCTCTGTAGCTCCTGAACTCCACAACAAGCATGTACCTTTTAATTAGCAAAACACGAACAAGTTTCTGGGAAGAAAACAAGCAGCATTCCTGTTCCATCTTGTGGGTAATCAGCTAGAAAATATTTGTTAAATGAATCACCAGGCAGCTAGAAAACAGTGCAAGTGCACGTGGGGAACTAAAGTACAAAAATCCCTACTGCACTGTTGTTACACTGTTACGCGTTCACACAGACAAGGTAACTCCCTAAGCCTGCTGCAGCCATGAGCAGATGGTTACAAATGAGCCTCACCTTGGCAGAGTCTGAAGCAATCCAACATGAAATGGAAAAAACGTAACAGCTACCTACTAGATCAGGAAGTTGAACAGGAACTCAAGCACCTAACAAGCCCAGAAAGGAGCTGTGATGTTGCCTTTCCTTCGGCTTCCTCACATCTGAGTTCCGCGAGCCCAGAGGCTGCCAGGCTGCGGACGTCCAGGAGGGCAGTGCAGGTGGCGGTGGCTGCAGCCTCTCTCACAAGGTGTCCACCAGGCTCTCCATTACCAGGTGGCAGCTGGACTCTTCCAATCACTCCACCACCCCACTT